GCAGTCTAGTGGCGAAAACAATCGTCTCCCAAGTAGTAAATCGAAGGTTCGAATCCTGCTATGACCTTTTTTATTATGAACTTGGTGAAAATAATAAAGTAAATTAAATAACCATCGCCGCTCAGCGCAAGACATTGCAGTCTAATGGCTAAGACAACTGTCTCTTAAGTGGTAAATCGATGTTTCGAATCTTGCTAAAACATTTTTTATTATGAACTTCGTGAAAGGATAAAGTAAACTAAATAACCATGGTCATCCAGCACAAAACCTAGCGGTCTAGTGGAGAAGACGATGGTCTCCCAAGTGTTAAATCGATGGTTCGAATCGTACCGTAACCGTTTTTTATTTATGAACTTTGTGAAAAGGATAAATAAATTAAATAACCATAACCGTTCAGTGCAAGATCATGCATTCTAGTGGCGAAGACAATCGTCTCCCAAGTAGTAAATCGATGGTTCGAATCCTGCGATGACCTTTTTTATTATGAACTTCGTAAAAATAATAAAGCAAATTAAATAACCATCGCCGCTCAGCGTATAAGACCTTGCAGTCTAATGGCTAAGACAACTGTCTCTTAAGTGGTAAATCGATGTTTCGAATTTTGCTAAAACTTTTTTTACTATGAACTTCGTGAAAGGATAAAGTAAACTAAATAACCATGGTCATCCAGCACAAAACCTTGCGGTCTAGTGGAGAAGACGATGGTCTCCCAAGTCTTAAATCGATGGTTCGAAACCTACCGTAACCGTCTTTCATTATGAACTTTGTGAAAAGGATAAATAAATTAAAATAACCATAACCGTTCAGTGCAAGATCATGCATTCTAGTGGCGAAGACAATCGTCTCCCAAGTAGTAAATCGATGGTTCGAATCCTGCGATGACCTTTTTTATTATGAACTTCGTAAAAATAATAAAGCAAATTAAATAACCTTCGCCGCTCAGCGTATAAGACCTTGCAGTCTAATGGCTAAGACAACTGTCTCTAAAGTGGTAAATCGATGTTTTGAATCTTCCAAAATATTTTATTATGAACTTCGTGAAAGGATAAAGTAAACTAAATAACGATGGTCATCCAGCACAAGACCTTGCAGCTAGTGGCAAAGACGATGGTCTCCATAGTTTTAAATCGATGGTTCGAATCCTAGCATAACCGTTTTTCATAATGAACTTCGTGAAAAGGATAAAGTAAATTAAATAACCATAAGCATTCATCACAAAATTTTTGCATCAGTGGCGAAGACAATTGTCTCCCAAGTATTATATCGATGGTTCGAATCCTGCCATGACATTTTTCATTATGAACTTTGTGAAAAGAATAAAGTAAATTAATATCCATGGCCGTTCAGCATGTCTTCAGCAGGCTGTCTTTTAAGTGGTAAATCGATGTTTCGAATCCTGCCAAAACCATTTTTTATTATGAACTTCGTAAAAGGGTAAAGTAAACTAAATAACCATGGCTATCCAGTACAAGAACTTGTGGTCTAGAGCGAAGACGACTGTCTTCTAAGTGGTAAATCGATGTTTTGAATCCCGCTAAAAGGGACTGAACAGAGGGACTGGGCATCGCTGTCAATCTAATGTTAATTAGGGAGGACCTATATTCATATATTCTGTTACGCCAGGATGATTTTTATTGAAAGTGAGTTGTGTTCAAAAGAAATTAGCCAGGCACAGCAGATATGAATATGGTCCCCTCAATTAACGTCAGATTGACGCCAATGACTGGGGGAAGGGGTGAGAAGATGGTCGTGGGGTGAGAGCAAAAAGGAAGGACGACAGGTTGATAAAAAGAGAGAATAGTTGATAGGGAACGCTGTAGAAGGGACAACATAAACCAGACAACAAGGAAACAGCCAAAACAATCGTTGCCTTCACAAACTTGATAGTATGTGTAAAGAAGGGGGTGTCAAAAATGGCCAAAAATGCGCCACGTAATTTGTAAACGGCCACTAGAGAGGTGTGAAAAATTTGCTTTGCCATATGTTGACAAAATGGACATCGTATACTAATTGGTTTAGTAAAACGCATAGAAGAACGATGTTTCAAAGCCTCTGTATGGGAAAACTTTTTTTACTGCGGAAAAATGTCCACCATGACCCACCATGTTTCTGCACACGTAGCATTGCTGAAATCTTTAAATTTTCAAACTCTTCATTCGCTCGTAATTTGCTAAATATTCTAGATGTATTGCATGTAGGCAATGCAAACCATGAAAATCATCATTTTATGGAGTGTTTGGGTATAATGGCATTTTCCTTCCCTTACAAAATTGGTATACAACCCATCATCATTTCGCCCACGGAGTTAAAGGTTTGTTTACAGTGTGGAGAAAACAAATTGGTTCAATTAGATTTTGTCTGCGGTGAACGAAATCATTTCCTAATTCAGCGCCGTCAAAAGAAAATTATATATATATATTATAATATATATATATATATATATATAATATATAATATATACATATATATATGTATATAAATATATATATACTAATATATATATATATATATATAATATATATATATATATATATATAATATATATAATATATATATATATAATTTATATATATATATATATATAATATATATAATATATATATATATATATTATATATTATATATATATATATATAATATTATAATATATTATATATATAATTTATATATTATAATATATATATAACTATATATTACACTGGACGAAAAATTGGATTAACTTTAGTTTACTTTAAATGTAAATATGGTGTGAATATGGAGAACTATTTTTGAAATATATTTACTCGATGGTTAAATATCAGTAAACTAGAATGTTTAATTCATAGTAAATGCAAAATAAACATGCGTAAATTTTATATTTACTAATATTTTGGGCCAAATTTACGCAGTAAAGTAAAGGTAAAGTTTGTGCATATTTGACATATATTTGCCACCACAAGTAAATATGTAGTACTTTTACGCATATTTTCCCATATTGCAAATTTGACGCAAACACAAAATTTGCCAGGATGGACAAATTTGTGTAAATATGGTATTTGCTTTCGTGTAAACAACATGTAAATGTTAACATTCATATTTGCTGAAGCTTACTTTGCAGACAAATAGAATTAAATAAGCAATAATGATTCCTGGACGCAATCTCAAATTTAGTGTCTGAAGCCCGCAGACGAATGTCGTTAATGAAAATGTGTAAAGATACATACATGCATATGCCTAAATTCAACAGTTAACATTCCTGTTGGCTACAGCCTATTTATTCTCAAAAATATCTCAATTTCAAAAAAAAAAATAAAAAAATTCACTATCAAGGAGCTAAATTGAATTTAGCCACACAATAACAGTCACTCACTGACAAAGGTCTCTTTAAAGATCTCACAAAATGGTCACTCCAAATCAACCCAGCAGTTTAAAGATCTTGTTTGTGCGTAACTCAATGTCTCAATCCAAAAGCTTAATAGTTAGTGAGATTTGTATATGCATATGCCTCCATTGAACATTACCTTCTTGATGGCAATGTTCAGTCTGTTTATTCTCAATATAAAATTTCTTAATTTCAAAAGCAATGTAGATTAACTCACCATCATGGAGCTAAATTGAATTTAACTACACAATAACAGTCACTCACTGAAAAGGTCTCTTTAAAGATCTCACAAAATGGTCACTCCAAATCAACCCAGCAGTTTAAAGATCTTGTTTGTGCGTAACTCAATGTCTCAATCCAAAAGCTTAATAGTTAGTGAGATTTGTATATGCATATGCCTCCATTGAACAATTACCTTCTTGATGGCAATGTTCAGTCTGTTTATTCTCAATATAAAAATTTCTTAATTTCAAAAGCAATGTAGATTAACTCACCATCATGGAGCTAAATTGAATTTAACTACACAATAACAGTCACTCACTGACAAAGGTCTCTTTAAAGATCTCACAAAATGGTCACTCCAAATCAACCCAGCAGTTTAAAGATCTTGTTTGTGCGTAACTCAATGTCTCAATCCAAAAGCTTAATAGTTAGTGAGATTTGTATATGCATATGCCTCCATGAACAATTACCTTCTTGATGGCAATGTTCAGTCTGTTTATTCTCAATAAAAATTTCTTAATTTCAAAAGCAATGTAGATTAACTCACCATCATGGAGCTAAATTGAATTTAACTACACAATAACAGTCACTCACTGACAAAGGTCTCTTTAAAGATCTCACAAAATGGTCACTCCAAATCAACCCAGCAGTTTAAAGATCTTGTTTGTGCGTAACTCAATGTCTCAATCCAAAAGCTTAATAGTTAGTGAGATTTGTATATGCATATGCCTCCATTGAACAATTACCTTCTTGATGGCAATGTTCAGTCTGTTTATTCTCATTATAAAATTTCTTAATTTCAAAAGCAATGTAGATTAACTCACCATCATGGAGCTAAATTGAATTTAACTACACAATAACAGTCACTCACTGACAAAGGTCTCTTTAAAGATCTCACAAAATGGTCACTCCAAATCAACCCAGCAGTTTAAAGATCTTGTTTGTGCGTAACTCAATGTCTCAATCCAAAAGCTTAATAGTTAGTGAGATTTGTATATGCATATGCCTCCATTGAACAATTACCTTCTTGATGGCAATGTTCAGTCTGTTTATTCTCATTATAAAATTTCTTAATTTCAAAAGCAATGTAGATTAACTCACCATCATGGAGCTAAATTGAATTTAACTACACAATAACAGTCACTCACTGACAAAGGTCTCTTTAAAGATCTCACAAAATGGTCACTCCAAATCAACCCAGCAGTTTAAAGATCTTGTTTGTGCGTAACTCAATGTCTCAATCCAAAAGCTTAATAGTTAGTGAGATTTGTATATGCATATGCCTCCATTGAACAATTACCTTCTTGATGGCAATGTTCAGTCTGTTTATTCTCATTATAAAATTTCTTAATTTCAAAAGCAATGTAGATTAACTCACCATCATGGAGCTAAATTGAATTTAACTACACAATAACAGTCACTCATAAAGTATATTTATCTTGTGCAAAAGACAAACTCTACAATTGGCGACGAGGATGGGATTGTTAAAAATGGTTTCAAGTGGCTTGTGGTCTGTGACGATTTCAAACTGAGAACCATAGAGGTATAAATGAAACCGCTCACAACCCCAAACGATGGCTAGTGCTTCACGTTCGGTCTGCGAGTACCGTCGTTCTACATCACTAAGCGTACGACTTGCATATGCAACAGAGCGTTCCTGTCCGTCTGCGTCAACTTGCGTTAGCACGGCACCCAGTCCGAAGGGGCTTGCATCAAACGTGGCAATCGTGCGCTTGCTAGGATCAAAATAAGCCATCGTGCGGTTGCTGGTCAAACACTCTTTTAAAGCGAGAAAAGACTTGTTCTGCTGAACCCCCCAGTTCCAACGCACTCCTTTTCTGGTCAAGTGTTTCAACGGCTCCGTCAATGTGGCGTAATTCGGAATAAAACGGGAACAAAATCCGGTTAACCCAAGGAAACTTCGGACTTCTGACGGATTCGTGGGAGGGGTGGCATCACAGATAGCAGCAATCTTCTTGGGATCCGCAGACATGCCTTTTGCAGAAAACACATACCCAAAGAAAGCCAGATTCTGCTTGTTGTAAACACACTTGGACCCGTTGAGGGTTAGACCTTTTTCCCGCAGACGTTGAAAGGTATCGGCTAGAGCAGCATCGTGTTCTTCTTGCGTACGCCCAAACACAATAATGTCGTCTGAAATGTTTTTCACGCCTGGGATTCCCTGTAGTGCCTGTTGAATAACTTGTTGGAAACTTCCGAGGCTGAGGCCAAACCAAAAAGGAGACGGGTATATTGGCGGAGGCCCTTATGCGTGGTAAATGTGGTGAGGTACCGGGAGGCAGGTGTAAGCTCAATTTGATGGTATCCAGAACGAAGGTCGAGTTTGGAAAAAACACTTGCCCCATTCAAATCGTTTGTGACTTCCTCGATGGTAGGTGTGGGATGGCGCTGGCGTTGGACAGCTTTGTTTGGTTGACGGAGGTCAACACAAAGACGGATTTCCTTGGGGTTGCTGGTTTTTGGGACTGCCACTACAGGTGAAACCCATGGTGTGGGGCCGTCAACCGCCTCAATGATGCCTTGCTGTTCCAAGCTCTCGATTTCTTGCTCTACTTGCTTTCGGATATGAAAAGGTATACGACGTGGCAGCTGGGCAACAGGCTTTACATCTGGGTCTATATATATTTGGAATTAGAAATCTTTGAGCTTTCCGATTCCATGGAAGATATCCTGGTATTCTTCCAATAACTGCGGTAGGGATTTTTGAGCACTGACTGTGTTGATGGAATGTGGGACTGAAATTAATCCCAAGGCGACTGAAGTGTCATGGCTAAGGATGGAGCCATGAAAGCCATCAACTACGTAAAATGAACCATTGGTTTTGCTTGATAAGGTTTCAATAGTGGCTTGAAACTTTCCGAGTAGGGCAAGAGGTTCTGCTGCACCATAGGCATAAATTCGTGTCGACGTCTTTTGCAACTGAATATGATCATTCTGCGTAACTATTTGCTCATATGCTGCCTTGTCGAGGATGTTCACTGATGCTCCCGAATCGATCATCACAATTTCAACACCATTGATGACAACGGGAAGCTGAGGCCTGGAGATCACATTAGCATGTTCCCCGTCAGTATTGGTTGCATAAATATATCCCTCCTCATCATCAGATACGATGTCTTCAGAGATTTGGTTCAGTTGTTCACGTCTTGGACGCTGCTGGCCTTGGCGTTGGGTGTTGCGATTTTGGGGCCGACTGCGGCAGACTCGAGCAAAATGATTTTGCTTTCCACAGGAACGGCAGGATTTACCAAATGCTGGCACGGCTTGGAGGGAACATGGGGCCATGTTTCACCACAATTTCTACAATATCCTCTAGGCTGTTGTCGGTGGTCATTACTTGTTAGCGGGCGATTTGCAGGTGTTGCTTGAATGGCACTGATCTCAGGAGTTGTAGGGCTGTTGGTACCAATACGAGCTGCTTGTTGTTTTGAGCATTCCAAAATACGACCTTGCTTTAAGATGAAGGTCAAATCCGCTTTTTCTTCACGAAGAATCTTTTCTTTCAGTCTATTAGAGCTACAATTAGCCAGAATTTGATCGGCAATAACATCATCAATATTCTCAAACTCACACGTTTCAGCCAGGTTACGAAGTCGAGAAGCGAATTGATCAATAGACTCACCGTCTTGTTGACATGCTTGTTTAAAATGGTATCGTTCATATCGAATATGTTTCTTCGGAGCAAAATATTCGTGGAGTTTTGCGGCAGCTGTATCGTAGTCGTCTCCCGTATCCGTCAATCCTTTAAACACTTTCTGAACAGTTGGCCCGCTGAGATGCAAAAGAAGCGCTCGCTTTTGTTTCTTGTCTTCAACTTTAGCTGCAATTGTAAAAATCTCGAATTGTTCGAGCCATTCTTTCCACCGTGTTGCGATTGACGATGGCTCGGAATAAGCATCGAATTGTGGCAAGTTCGGCATTAAATTTAATTGAGCCATTATAATCCTCGAAGACAAACTCTACAACTCACTGACAAAGGTCTCTTTAAAGATCTCACAAAATGGTCACTCCAAATCAACCCAGCAGTTTAAAGATCTAATTGTTTGTGCATAAGTCAATCCAAAAGCTTAAAGTTAGTGAGATTTGTATAATGGATATGCCTACATTGAACAATATTACCTTCTTGATGGCAATTTTCAGCCTATTTATTCCCATTAAAAAATTTCTCAGTTTCAAAAGTAATGTAGATTAACTCACTATCACAGAGCTAAATTGAATTTACTGTAACTACCATACACAATAGCATTCACTCACTAAAAAAGATCAAAATATACTATATTAACTTAAAATGTTTATCTACTGCCACAGCTCTGCTAATTGTTCTTGCAAATTACATGAACCACACAGTGCTGACCCACTACAATATTCACCCTCTTTTGGTTTTTCCATAGCTCTCCTAAACTTCAGAAATCCATTCTTTTTCTTAAAATATTTGATCATATTCATGTATAACCAATCCTTTGCTACATTCCTATCCATCTCTTTGGCACTAGTTTTATTGCCAATTGCAACATCATTACCCAATTGTGCTGCTTCAATTTCATCTCTCTCTTCATGTTTTTTATCATCTTTATTGACTTCTATAAACACATACTTTTTCTTCTTGTTCAACCTTTCCCTACGGTTCTGCTTGTATTGGCGTCGTTTTCTTTTAGATGTCTTCCATGCTTCTAAAATATTAGCCAATATTTTAACAAATAATATTTTAACAATAGATGTAGTAAAACACATACACTACAGTAGGCAGATTTTGCAAGCTATAAATGGGTTCATATTAAATACCCAAAATTTGAACACAACAGAAATTTCAAATTCAAAAGCACCATGATAGCCATTAAGACATGGCATGATGGTACTTTATACACACAGCTGTTGCCTGTTGATCTCTTAATGCATTTAGGACTCTTCCCAAAACAGGTGAATTCATTTATTGGCTATACTCAGTTGCTATTAAAATGATTCACTTCGTAAATGTAATACGTACCTTCGAATGAAAATTCCAACGTACTGTACTTTATATTTGATTAATTTGAAATTTAAATTAAATTAATAAATTTATTTATCAATCAGGTTTTTATTCCGCGGAAAAAAAGCGCGAAGTGCTTAATGAATCTGTGGTCTATTTGATCAGCGGCAAGCAAATGCAATACACTTAGTTTAACAGAGCGCAACATTGGTGTATTACGACTACCTTGCGTCCCTTTGCATACCTTTTAGGCATACCATAGCCTACCTTTAAATTAGCTTAGACTACCTCAACCTCGTACCCAGGGCTTGCTGCTAAGGGCGAAGGCCCTGGTAAAAGCTGATCAAAATACTCCCAGATTTTGGGAGTATTTTTGAATCTCCTGAAAAATTATGATGACTATCAGGGGAGGGGTGTTGAAAACAGCAGACTTTAGGTTCTAGGTTGCTCAACCACCCTGATAGCCACATAATTTCTAATGAGATTCAAAAATACTCTCAAAATCTGGGAGAATTTGGATCAGCATTTTCCAGGGACTTTGCTTTTAGCAGCAGGTCCTGGGTACGAGGGTGAGACTACCCTAGGGACTTTAGACTGCCTTAGACTACCGTACTGAGCTACATATTGATGTTCGATTTCGTTTTTGGCAACACGACGAGCGAGGCCTGAGGAGCAAACTGCGCAGAGGCTGGACCATACTTGGTACTTTTACAAAATAACAGTTGGCAACGCTCGAATGCATTCTGCACGATTGTCATGATAATAGCAAAAAATAACCTAAAAAGGTGTAAGTAACTTTCTGCCATAGCCTGATTTCTGCCATAGCATGATTCATCCATATGTCCTTTTAAAACGGAATTAGGAATCAAGAACATGCAACATTTGCTGAAATATTTCAACTTTTCTATTTTGTCATCCATCCCTACAGGATGTGCTCAAAGAAGTTGCACATTGGAATACATATCGAAATAGAAATTAAACGCGTACAGTGTTCTATCTTGAAACCTACTGTAAAATAAACAATGCTTTAGTACCTTTAGCCACTCGTAAATTCACTATATTGGTATTAATAGGAGATTGCACTTGTTCTCGAAGAATTAATGAAAAATGCATTTGCTACAAATACTTGCTAAACACGCGTTCAATTTTTCATTTATACTTCTCGAGCTGTGCAATTTCCTGTATCAATTTGTAATATAGCGATGTTACTAGCATGTATTTAAATGTCTCTTAAACTCAACTCAACTAACTCAAACTAAACTAAACTAAACTAAACTAAACTAAACAAAGCTAAACTAAACTAAACTAAGCTAAAGCGATTTCTAATTATATATATATATACAATTTATTTGAATAACCTTATTGGGCATTGCGCGAATTTTGCATGCAATGGTGAGCATTTCAACTGGCCAAATGTATAGTCAAATTCGACGTTTTAATGGACTTAGAGATGTTCTGGCAAATCCGGTCAACACTGAAACTTGCGCGGAACTGGGCACACAATTAAAACTCTCTCTCCGTCAACAACATCATAAACAGGGACAAACCTACAAAAGATCCTTTGCACTGGAATAAAACTTGCACAGCCATCTAACTCCCAGACATTTCTGCACCATACTTCAGTTGGGGATCCCAATTTATGTCTTTGGGGATGTACTGAAAACCATCTTACGGCCGCAAGTATACATTTCACGCGATTATCGTTAACCTCTATACTCTGCTCAAGAATATAGTCAATAACACCTGGTCTAAGATCCGTACCCGCTTTATCAATGACCCCACCAAGACTGCACCATCTAGCCATTATGTAACATGATCTCTCTCCCCGGGAGTTCAGAGACCCAAAATATTCCCCCGCGAAAAAGACACCAGCATAACGATTAAAGTGTGTGGTAACTGATTCTACGTTTAGTCCATCAAATATTTCCATATACACCTTGTGATTAAGGCAAGATCCTCTGCGTCCAAGCTTTCTAAGGAATAGGGACAACGCAGTTCATACACAGTCTTCCTTTCATCGATTCTCCATCGTGAGTCGTTCTTTCGGACAGGACCAATGGCAAGCATACTAGTCTCTATCACTTCTTTTGTTTTCATGTCTTCCAGCTCAGAGGCAAGCGTTCCAGTGTTCTTAATATTTAGTTTTTCAAATATAGGTAAAAACGAATCACCAAATTGAACTGGCAGCTCCAAGTTTCTTACGAACTGTTCGGACGTAAACTTTCTCATTAACTGTACTTCTACTGACCTCTGATTGGTAACAATTTCGCCCAAAAGACCATTGTACCGCTCAAAACTGAATAGCCAAAACGAATATACAGGTCCGTAATCCAAAATGCAGTCGAGAATGTGGGTGTGCATATGCATGTTTGGCGTGACCTTCTCTTTTCCATAAAGATTTTCAAAGCCCTTGCAGAATTTTAAAATGTGCGAGTGTCCCACTTCTGCTCTTCCTTCTGTGATGACAGGAGCACAATACAAGATGCAAGCCATAACAAAATCATGCCATAATTTGAGATGCTCATCTGGTAATACATTCCAAAGACTAAACACTGAAAGAGAATTGTCCACGTTTTCCACTGATCAGCGGTAAATCCGCCATAACTATTTCGATTTTCTTAGGCATTCTACCAATAGATGACGGTGCTTTGATAGTATCCAACTTTTTCTGGATGTTCATAAGATCCTTCCTTTCAATAAGTGGTGTTTCGCCTTGCAACCAAATATTCTTCATTAAATGCTTGGAAGTTCCCAGAAACAGGTTGTGCATTGGATCGACAACATGATACCGTACGCAATCAAAATAAGGCAACATCATAAGCTCCGTGAACCTTGTGCCATAACGCTGTTCAGCTGCAGCTTGATCGGTCATACTTGTCTGGTTAAGCACTTCTTGAGCTTGTTGTCGATGCTCAGCATTCTTTCTAGGCGGGGAAGGTTCAAACCCAGAAAAATCCATTTTCCCTACTACCCCAAGAAATGCTTTCTTGCACTTGGAGCATCCATTGCGGGCCCCATGACCAGTAAATCCACACACTTTTCGAACGGCAGGTAGATCGCACGCTATACACAATAAGGCAGCACGAATGCAAATTTCAGAGTTAATATTTATACCGTCCGTCCATAACAAATTTAGTTCTGTCACCATGGGCTTGAGGTACGTATTTATGTTCAACGATGGTTCTTTAGGACCTGGAATCAGACCTACCAACAGGACATTTTCAGGCTTAAATCTCTCGCTCCTGGGTAAGTTCATTATAAAAAACATGGCCCCAACGCTGTAGACGGAATGTTTGAATGGCTGAAACCAGTCCACGTTAAGCATCAAAGCATAGTTATCAGGGGCAGCTAAGAAAGGTTTACCTTCAACGAATTGCCACTCTCGCCAAACACGTCCATCAAAAACATCAGCTAGAAAACCATTAGGAACTTCTCTACTTCTCCACAGTTCACACTTCTGGAAATCCATTTCTGCTTATCATATTCTTCAGTGTTTCCGATATACTTTTATAGCAAAATATTTTGAATGGGTACAAATGGCACTTTCCGTTCTTTAACACAACTTCTCTTAATAGCGGCTCGTTACAACGCTGCCTGCGGTGAACTTGGCGATGATGAGGAAATGAAATAAACTGACATTTTTTGGTCACTTTTTTGCCATACTTTAACTCGTAGCAGTCGTGAAATGAATATAAACTGGAACATTTGTTACAGACAACGTATTTGGTAAAGCTGTCTTTTTCATGCCAAGATATGTACGTAGCGATGATATAGTAGTTGGAAAAGATATAAAAACAGCAAACGGTGGAAAGATTGTCCCCAAAACAGTAAACCAACGATGAAGAAATGACAATAGCAACTCCAGTGCAGTTTCTGAAATTTTGCAATGGGCAGCCCATATAGACAAAAAACAAGTGCCCAACGCAAAATATTCTTTACTGGATTAGATGCATTACCTTTAAGATCGTTGGAAACATGTGGTATAGAGTTTCTCTCAAGGTCAACATTGATATCCTCTTCAGAAATCTCCCAAATTTCTGGGTTAATTGGAAATACACGCTCTTTATACAACCACTCTGTATCTGACGAGTCATCATCATCTGAACAAACACTGGATTGACAATCGGATTCTACAAAAACATGGATATGATATATTGCATGTACAGTCTGTCTAGGGTTAGAAAATTTTACTCGATAAGGGGAAGACTACCAGAAAATGGGTTAAGAAAACTACATCGACTGCACCTACTGAGTAATACCAGCTAATGGGTTAAATATACAAATTGTACTGCCTTGTTTAAATAGTACACGGGTAAAAATTAACTTTGGACACATTTTCAAATACATTTTGTGGTCCTCAAACCTTTTTGATCTTTACTACTTGTGTTATACCTAATTTTTGAGATCACCAGGTCTAATACTTCGTCTTTTGAAATATGTCCATGGCCACTGAGGTTTTCCTTTTGACGTTGCATATAACAGGATCACATAGTCAAGGGCAGGGGAACCGAGCCTGGATCCAGGCCAACTACGTCCAAAACCCTGATGCATCAAAGTTCTCAAGCAATCCTGATCATCATAGGCCAGTTGTAAGAAAACTGTTTGGCAAATTGGGTGAATATTATAAGCCTCCTCCTTAAATTTCCCCCCCCACTCAGTGTATATGTCCACCCTAGTAAGGCCAAAAACACACATTTATGCCTGCAAAGATCAAGTGTATACAATCATATAAAAGTAATGTTATGGTGTTTGTCTAGCAGTGTTGTGACTCTATTTAGTCTGATGATACAGTCACCATAGTCCTAGGAAAGGAAAATTGGTTGTACATCAACTGCTTATATATAGATATGACAATTGGCCTATCAACTGTATATCTGAGGCAGTTGTTATTTGTTATGCTGTTATTTGAAGAAACTGCCATGCTGTAACCTGATTGCCTTTAATAGTCCACCCTAATCCAAATTAACAAATACCTTCCTTCTGGCCCATACTAAACATAAAAATACCTCATTTCAACTCCAAATATCTGCAGAAATTGGCAAAATTTATAAACAACAATATCATATAATAATAAAAAACTGCCCTATTGCTAAATTAGGCCTGTGGGTACATGAACAGCTTCAAATATTTAATAGGGAGTAGGGGACACTAATCTAAAAGCACATATCCTATTGTTTTCGCTAAAAAATGCTCTTTAAAGAAAAGTTGAGGGGACACAATGTCCCCTTAATGGCTGTACCTTATATATTTTATAAGCCATGATATTTGTAGTTAATATTTTCTATTATTTATGTAAAAATGTCACTGCAGGGCTTACCATGAAAGCAATCCGAACCAACGTCGTCTCCTTTGTCTTTAGGGAACTTTCCTTCACATTCGTCTTGGGAACTATCATTAATATCTCGAATGGAGTGTTCATCTTCTTCATCCGAAGAAACGACACATGTTTTCCAAATACCTGTTTCTTTGATAAAAAATAGCTTTTCGTGCGTACGATATGTTCTTAGCGTAACAAACTCTTGACAATGTCCACAGTACTTTCTTTTTTCACTCATGGGATCAAATATTGATTCGAAGCTTAAAATATATCGATATCGAATAAAGCTAATACCCGTCCGCCCGCAAGCATAATGATAATCAAAATTTGAGATTTAATGTTCATATGACTTTCACGTGTCATTCACGTCGCAACTCCCTGACCGACCAAAGTTCATGATTTGGGAGCAAGGATATCGGATTTGAAATTTTGGCGCTAACTTGCCATGAATTATTCAACGACACACGTACATTGTGTAAAGTACATTGAATTTTACGCGATTTATTTACATCGAAAACGTATTTTGTGCTATGGGGCGACTACCACCAAACCGGCGGAATCGCGTACATTTGTATGGAAAGAAACTTGCAGAGAAAAGTAATAAGAACACAGCGTCTAGTTCATCGAGATCAGCGAGGACATCATGTTCGCCTAGCCCTACAACGACAGACTCGAATATTTCGGAGGAAAATGTCAGTCAGGACACAAGGCGCTTTTCTGACATGATCCCAAACGCACCAACAACTCCTCAGATACCTATGCCCCCGAAGACAACTCCATAAGTCCTGATCTTGGACTTGAAACGACAACGATTCCAACGACGGTATCCAGCGTTCGCAACACCGTGCGCATAGAAAGTACTCCAAGTTTGAGTAGTTCTGGCAATAGTTTTAAGGCGAAATCTATTGCCAGAAATTGATGAAGAGCTGCTAGGAACGACAACGGGCTCTTCAAGGCCAAGGGAAGATGAGATTTTAAGACAAATGAGGATATTTATGGAACAGCAAAGCACCTTCAACCAGAGACTGTTGAAGTCAATTGAGGAAAAAGGCTCGGAAGGGGGATTAAAACCTGAAAAAAGAAGAACAAGATTGCCCTTAGAATTAACGGTATATTACCTATCAATTTTACTATTTTATGGTACTCTTTCATCTATTATTTAGGGAGAGAATAAAGGTGGAATATAGCTTTCCCTTTGATCTCCTGGCCCATCCACCCTTTTCAGAGGCTGGTTAGTGCACTTTGCCAAGCTGATTTTATTAGATCTAGTCAAGCAGCCTTGCAAATGCAAACCACAGGCTCACAGCTATAGATAGTATATGTATACTTTTCACAAACCTGAATTTGGCTCCTTTATAAGCAGCTTTCACAGTTATGACCCACATGTCAGAATCATTCAAGAGTGCTAAATTTGCATTGGAGTCCTGGGAAAATTAATGTATACAATTTATATCAGCAAGCAGTGGTTTGTTTTTGCAAGTTAGACCACCTCATGTAAACACAGAATGAAATCAGCTTTGTTACAAGTGCAGGTTCAGTTCCAGATATATATAGCATCTCTTAACAGTGGTGGATTTATAGGAGGGTGCATAGGGTTGTAATCAAAGTACATCTGTAATGAGATTTACCTAAAGTCCTACCTTACAACTACAACCCCCCCCCAAATATTGTATGTATCAAAACTGTAGTAGCATAATTACTTGCTAATTACTATCAATTAGGCTTGTGTTCGTGATGTTGTAAGAAACATTGCTGATGATGATGGAAATTCACTATCCTGGGATTTATCTAAAAGGTAAGTTGCCATTATGTAACTTTTTGATCTTTTGTCTGCATTGATCAGATGGTATATTAAAGAGCCCATATTTCTTAATATATCAGAGCAGTTTATTACACTTTTTGCACTGTTGTTATAGTACATGCTCTGAAACAAACTAATGAACCAACTACTAGCTAGAATGGCCTTTTGGCTTATTCCCTATTCTGTGTCAGTGGTAGGTAACTGCCAGTTACCAGCAAATTTGCCAGTGCATGTCTCTTGATAACCATTAGCTGGCAAATTGCAAAACTTTAGACTGCTGGTAGGCTATCACCAGTATACATGACATATGTATCATGGGTTAGTATTTCATTTATTACTCTATTAAGTGCCTGTAACAAATATTTTCATAGTTGCATCGCAAAGTTAATTTAAACTCGCATGAAACTCCTTTGGATATCGCAAATTATTTGGCATGCAGATTTGACTTAAATGAGATAACACTGCATAATATGCCTGCATTCTAAAAGCTCACTCAGACATTGATTCAGGAAGGACTGCATCACTGATCAGCAGCACTGTGATGTGTCAGTCACACTCACTAACTGTGAGTGAGCTTTTAGAGCACAGGCGATAATATCATTATTGACAACTAGCTTGCAGTAAACTGCTTGATAAAGTTGTCACTGTCTCAAATTTATGATCTAATTGATAAGTTATAACAGCTCTTTCGGTCATTAGTACATGTTTGGCAAGGAATGGCATTCTTTTTAAAAACTTAATATGCGTTGTGATATCACTTAAGTCATATTCATGTGTCAACCAATATGCAATATTTGCAAATATCTTGATAGGCAAGAAAACTTACATTGTGGTTTTAAATGAACTTTGCATGCAACCCAAGTAATTGTCACAGGTACTAGCGTTATATTCTGTATTATGGACAGTATTTTGATAGTTTTTTCTATTTATCTGCCTATAAAGTTTTGGAGCAGTAGAAAATCAAAATGTTAACCGTCTAATCATGGCCTCAATTAAAAGTGTCAATGATGCACCAAGTCAAGTTATTAGAGGTACCAGTACTGTACAAATAGTTTTCAGTTACATTAAGAGTAACATTGTGCCGCCATGCCAAAAGACTTAATTTATGCATTGTGATAATTTTTTTGGGTGAGTGACAAAAGTAGTGCTCAGATTTGGCTACTTTATATGCAAGATCAGCACAGAAGAAAGTTCATTATGCATATTTACTACCTTTAAAAACTAAAAACTCAATCTATACAGTATACATCTTTAAAACTGAAACAGAGTACATGTATGTACATTTGCTGTGCTAGTACCATTTTAACATGCTCCAGCATGCTTTTAAAGCCATTGCACATGTACAGTACTTGTGTTTACATGCATTTATTCACATTTATGTAGCGGCAATGCATTGTTATTTCAAAACAAGAAAACGTGCCGAGAAGACCAAGGAGCAAAACCTGAGTGATCAGTATCTCAAAAAGCAAAGAAATAGAAGTAGAATCAATACAGTAAGTGTGAAATATCAATTTCAGTCTACAAGTTCTCCCTTATACCGAGGGCTTCACCCTGCGAACACAAGATTCGTACAGTTCTTCGAATTACATATGTAAGGAAGAAATATAAAGAGTCTCAGCCTGCTGCTCAGCTTCTGCTGTGTTCTTTACTCTGTGTTAGGAGTTTTCTGTGTTCAGCATTGAAAGAAAAACATTCTGTAGCAACATACATACATATACAATCCTCTCATATACTTGTATAGTAGTTTCCATTGATATGTCTCATTGTATCTGGTAGATTTTGCAGTTTGGATGGTACAGTTTTTATAATATTATAGTTGTATTAAATAAGATCTATCTTTACCTGCTTGTACTCTTTGAGGCTGAGACACATCCAATTTGGAGAATCTTTACAGAGAACCTCCTCCTGTGTGCATTTGTAAAGAAGCAAACTTTTGGCTCCTAACGAAATTTCATTATTATATGTTGTTCCTTGCTTAATAATTTTTGTTACAACCTTTCCGTAAAGCCGTTCGCTAGTATATAAAGTTACGAACACTTACAAGGTAGTCTTGTCATATATTCATCTAAATTCCCCTTAAACTTGTCTTCGTTTAAAAAATTTAGATCTACGCAGTGGTAAGTTTCACTTGTATTTCGTAGGTCGAATTTGTACAACATTCGTCTGAATGTTCGCGAACTTCGTTGCTAAGTTCCCAAATACGGAGCGGAAGTTTTCAGTGAAAAGCATGTTGAAAAAATGACTAAACAAATCTCCATCCAATTTCCTAAATTATCCTCGCTTCCTACGAAATTATTAAAATTAATGTGATTATTTATAGAAACGAAAGCTACGCCAGAGTACTTTGCAGATGTCAACATCGATATCGGAAAAAGAAAAATATGAAAAAATAATGACCAACGACTACATGTCATCAGAATACTCGGTATCCGAGGCATCTGAACGAGAGGATGCGTCCTCTGGTGATAGCTCTTCGGATACCGAACATCAATCAAAAGCAAGGAAATTCTCCATACAGCGATTACCATGGAGAAGTGATGAGGCCAACAAACTGATGGTGACGTTGGACAAAAAATTGGCAAGAAGAGAGGCAGAAAAGGGGTGTGCATGACCTATGAGAGGGTGAAGGGAAACAATTCAACCGTCTTGCGCCTTTGGATGCCCAGAGTGGGCAATCAAACAATGAAATTTTTTTTGAAACATTATTTCTCGTATTTTTCTTCTTTTTTGTACATAATCATTGGTGAATTATTGACCACACGTTTTTAATCTTTAATCGATTTGGTTTTGTGTTAGTTGAATTGTAAGCTTAATTGTAATTTGTAAACATTACTCTTAAATGTGCAACAAACACTTTCTTTCATTATAGAAATAAATATTGATACATTACAGTATTAGCTATTGTAGTTGTGATCATGATTATTGAAACTAGGAAATTGCATGTCAAATTTCTGACCGCATTTTTTCCATATGCGTACGAGGCAATTCAAGCAAATGCAGTATGTACATGATCTTTGCCTTATTTTAACCATGTGTAGAAATGTTGTATTTACGAAATATTTCACCACACGTATTTGCAAGGAAAGCAAAACGTGAGCAAATTATTTCTTCACCTCGGTGGCAATTTAAGACAAATATACAATAGCAAACGTCGTGTTTGATAATATTCAAAATATGATGCCAATGGCAAGTAAATATAGCATTCATGTATATTTTCAAGCAAAACAAATAAAACGCAAAATTCGTATAAAACTCGGGAGTAAATCCAACTAAATGGGATATTTAATGACGTTTACGTTATATTTACTTCATGTGCAATATTGTATTTCTTTATATTTACGCTATTTATGTAAGTATAGTATTATAATCCAATTTGCTACTGAGAAAATATGTTGCAAATGTACATCTTTATTTCATCTTTTCGGTCTTCGCAAAAACAAACTTCCCCCTTATTTACTTAGTGTGAAATATGGTGAAAATACCAAATTTGATTTTTAACAAAATATGAGCAAACGTTGTTGATTACGATTTTTACAAAGGTTTACGCTATTTTTACTTTATGTGCTAATGTTGTATTTGACAATATTTAATATGGCTGTAAATGTCATTTTTACTGCGTTATTTGCGTTGGGGAAAATAAGTAGTGAATATGAATGTTTAATAAAACTTTACACTAGGTGTAAACAATACGATAAAAACGGTCTTCCGCGTGTTTACGTGGTGTGTAAATATACGGAAAAAACAGAATTTGATTGTGCACAAATATGTCCAAACATTGCTGAATATGATATTTACGTCGTGTTTGCTTTAGATATACTATAGTCGTAAATCCAGTTTTTCGTCCAGTGTTATATACCTTGCTGTCAGGATATGAAGATAAAGTGGTCAAGTAATATATTATATACCTTGCTGTCAGGATATGAAGATAAAGTGGTCAAGAACTATTTTAAGAGAACTTTAGCAGGTAGAAGAAGAGGACACAAAGTTGAGCTAATAGTAAGTGATAGGAAAGATTTTGCTTTCATGTGTAATTTTAAGAAGGGGCAATTGACAATTTCCTTTAATTATGGAGAATGGAATGTACATGGATTCCCCCAACATAGCTAATTCATTAATACTCTTTTTATATAAGAACTACAAAATATGCCCATGTTCAATGTTTTTATTTTTTGGCTGATTCAAGCTAAAATAATGTGCGGTATATTACATGTGTCAGCAGTGTATCGCTGAATTAATTTCTGGAGATGAATGTGACCTTTCATAGGATGGGGGTTTTAATGTTGAAATTTGAGTTTCATACCGTAAAATTTATATACTTTCTGTTTATATATAATTTGATTTGTATTACTCATTTTGAATATTGTTTATATGTTGATTGAATTGCTGTTGAAATCATGTACTATTATGATAGCTTTTGTACAAAAAATCCATTTTAATGTTTACAAATGAAAAGAAAAAAAATTATTTCATTACTGTTGGTGTGCATTTGTATGTAGGTAAATTAAATAGTGTATCTGCAGTCTGTTGGTAGTTACTTATTCACACTTTATTACTGTATCATGTAATGCCGTGCTCCATAAATGCAAATCTTGCTTGCAAACTGAGCATTTACGGTATGTAGCCTGTGTGACCTTCATGTAAAGACAACAAACAAATAACTCTAAATTTGTCCAAGCTTCCCCCACCCGCCTCCCCCGTGCTTGCCGACATTTTGGGAATGAAATATTAACCCATTAAGTGCCAGCACTTTTCACATGACGAGTAAAATTGTCTGGTGTTAGACAGAGCAAATACTAAAGGTAGGGTGCATCAGGGCACAATGCCGTTTAATGGGTTAATTAGTAGATTTTCAGAATTTGTCGGTAATTTTTGGACAAACACCCCCTGTCGACATGTCTTTATGACGGCCCTGATAGCTTAGTGTTCATATGTGCACCTCCCATCATTCCCATATCACAACAAATGAAGTCATTTGCCAGAATAATTTAATAAAAATTATTTTTCAAGTCAAATTCATAAAAAAGATTAATACATTAGCAAAAAGTTCACAAAAGGTTTGGCCGCATGCCCTGGCTACCCTGCTGCTGTTCTGTTCTCCAGCAGTTTAAGGTTTTCATCCGCTGGAACATAATTCACAAGACACTGGCAGTTGAGTAACCCAAGTTGGCCAAGCTAATCAAACCTACTTAAACACAGATTTTCCCTGAGGAAACACTTGATACAATCAACCTCCTAAGCTTATCTGCATAGAATCTACACTTAACATCTGACATGCACACCTTCTGCAACCCACAATAACAGTATGCCAAATCTCCAGAGCTTACTTGTTTGGGAATATATGACTTGGCACAAGAATGATCAGATCTCTCATTAGGAAGGTTAAAACCTCTTTCCCTGAGCCAGATTAAGGATACAAACTCATGTCGGAAAATTTGTTCCCATCTGGAAACAAAATTGGTATTCCTGCTGTTTTTGCAATGAAGACATGTTTTGCCTCTCTTCCTTCCATTGAGTTAATACCGTTGCCAAGGTCATATTTGTCCTTCATGTACTGGGTATGGGCAGGAACAATATTGCCTATTGTCCAAACAGTGGGATTTACTTGAAAGAACAGAGCATTTGCCCGGAAATAGTCTCGACAGAGATTGGTAAGCTTCTTTATCTCATCATTTGAAATATTTATTCGACTGAATATCGAAACACAATCTCTAAGAAGAAGGCAAATGTATGCAAGAATATGCAGAATAGTTTTGCCTACCAGGCTCAGAAATAGGTTCAATATATGAAATTAATTTCATGAAATGCAGGAGAAAAAGTCTTGACTGCTTGCCAGTGAAGCGATATTCAAAACTTTTTCCATTAGCACCAGTTTCATCAAACCACTTGATGATCTTATTCGCTAACCTTGATAAATTGCATTCACGCATATGTACATTTTAAATGGAGAGTTTGAAGGAACCTGAGCAAAAGAATTCACCTTCTGTCCAAGCTTTGTCATTGCAATTACTTCATAAAGCAACACCTATGGGTAAGTGCACAAGCATTGTTTTAGGTGAAGCGGGTCTACATGAGCCCGATCAATCAACCTTCCAACAATGGGTTGAAATTCCTGGCGGCTTTTCAACTGGGCAATGAAGGATGTTACCTTAGATCTTACTGTGGCTGGTGCCAATGGTTTTTGGCCATAGTTTTCTTAAAATCTTCAACCTTGTTTGCAGCAGAGACCCTGTCTTCATATTTCCAGGGCTTCCACATTTCCTTCCCAGAAAAACTGAAAGAACCTGCAAGAGAACTCATATTATGGGTGCTTACATTTGCAAAGGTAGAAAAGAAAGTGGCTGCGTTTGATAGTTCTCCACCAAAGAATGCCAACATCTTCATGTCGTTAGGCATTTCTGAGACATGAAATCTTACATTAACCATCTCACCACCACACTCAACCTGAAAGGTACTTTTCTCCAAAACACTAATATCACTCAAGCACTTTTGTAGAAACCGAGGCACTGGCACACAATCCTCTTTACAATTGGCTCCAAACAATAGATAATTCTCATTGCTGCTTAGCACTTTCCTGCCTAAATTAAGAAAACTAACTAACTAGTATCTAGCAAGAATAAGAACTATCTCCTGAATATTTCTATACACCCCATCAACTTTGTCAATTTCATCTAGACCATCACAAAGTGTTTCCCTAATGGAATAAAGTTTACCAATATCTATTGATTTAATATAATGTGCAAGCTTATGGTAAGGCAACAGTCTCGGAATAGGGCAGTTATTGATTTTTATACGAAGAGACTTTGCTTCATTACTCTTTTTGTAACTACTTGCCCTATAAACATTACGATACTTCCTTTTACCCATTATACCGCCACTATAATACACAGCGATACTTCTTGTCATGTTATCATTTGACTTTTCATAATCATTTATACCTTTCTGTAATATCTTAGGAATTACTCTTTTAACTGTTTTAACATTTGTTGAAAAAACATTAACTAAAAGTTTTCAGAACATTTTGTTATTGCTGTGTCACACAGACCAACTTGGCCTGGTAAATTTGAGTGATTAGTAGCCCCATGAATCTGACATGCTGCCTCAAATGTCTCTGAACTCCTCCTTCTTGAAGTAGCTGGACTAACTGTACTATTTGCACCAAACTGACTGGGGTTTCTCATTCTTATTGAGGTTGATCTCTCTGAAATAAATCTTTTCTTCCTAGGTGGCTCTGAACTACCATGACCTGCTCTACCTGCTCTATTCACTTCACTGATAACATCACCCCCTTCCTCAATATATTTATCAAGGTTTTCAATCTGAAGGCAATTATGAATTTTATTTAGAATGTGTGCAGCAGGAAAAAAAATACAAAAGCCAATATAATATACACAGCCAAAAACACCCAAGTTGCAACAAGTCTGCTGCAGGCCTGTTGCAACTTGTTGTATCAAACTGGTATCTGATGTGTTCGCATGGCTTGCATCAGCTTGTTCAGACAGGGCTGTTACAAGTTGTCAACAGACTTGCTGCAAGTCGTCAACAGACTTGATGCAAGTTGTTCTCATCAGACCTGATGCAAGTTGTCAACAAACCTGTTAGAAGTTACAACAG